CCCTCACCCCACACCCACACCCTCACCCCACACCCACACCCTCACCCCACACCCTCACCCCACACCCACACTCACACCCACCAAAAAACATTATAAACATGAGAAGTTCTATAAAAATAATCATCGCCATGATCCTTATCTGACGTCAATGAATTTTGTTTTGTTATTATAGTTTTGAGTTTCTGTATTTAATTTGAGTTTTTATTTGAGTAGTCTGTGAGTGAATTTCAATCTCGCTCATAGTGCTTATTTGGAGAAAAGGCACGTAGAAATACATGGATCATATATATTCTGCCTGTTTAAAACACGTGATCTAAATTATTTTCTTCTCTAGAAAAAAATTATGAATAAGGGTTTCATTTATATTACTTATTTATACTAAAGCAAGTAATCGACACAAGGTTTTCTTCGTGTTTTTCAAACTCAAATCGAACTTCTTCATATCACTAACTATTTCAAATGATAGGGCGTACCAATCAAGTTAGACCATTTAATGATGAGAATCTAACAGGAAAAACTCGTCATTATAAAATGACACTCAAAGAATTTTTAACACTTCTGATTGGATCTACAATTCCTGTCGCTATTGGTATATATACAGCTATTACAAATGAACAAATGCAGAAATTAGCTCAACGTGCAGAAAATAAACAACACAGTATTGCTACCGAAAGACGAGTATTTGATTTGGAACGAGCATCTGAACTCTATCAACAACAACTCTACAAGAACTTTTTAGATGATATGTACATATTACACAGAGATGGTGAATTAAATGATTCAGCTGATCCATGGGCATTTGCAAATGCACGTTATCGTGCTGCACAGCGTGAATTTGATCCTATTCGGAAGGCCCAAGCCTTAATTTTTCTCAAGGAAAAACAATTGATTGGTCGTCAAAATTGTACAACCAAATGTCAATCAAAATTAGTCAAAGATATAATTCGTCTCAATCAGAGACCGAAACGGGGTGGATTTTTTACTCCCCGCCCCGCCCCGTCGGAAGCTTTCTCTCCCCGACCTCGCCTCGCCCCGCTCGTTATTTTTTTTCTTCCCCGCCCCCGCCCCGCCCCGCTCTATATTTTTTTTGCTTCCTCGACCCCGCCCCGCCCCGTTCTTCATTTTATTTTGCTTCCCCGTCCCCGCCCATATGAATTTCCGGTGTAAAATTGAAAAATAAGAAAGTTTTACGGA